CACCCACCCACCCTCGATTATTGCTCATTTTTACAACGACGTTCACATCGCAATATCGCCATCACCCGCGTATCTTGGGTGTAATCGTCTGCTGCTGTATATGCCATTGCTACTGTGATAATGTATTGTACCAGTGTGGACGCGGCCGAGTGCGACCTGTGTGTATATACTACGCATATCTGTCCGGTGTCCAGCATAGCGAGAAAGAGTTGTGTGGGACGACAAAATGAGAATCGGTTCTTTCGAGTTGGAGCCTAGCACGTGATCTAGTGCGTGATTCGACCCCGAGTGAGGAGGACCGGGCGTCACTCACTAATCCGTGCGGCGTTAGCGTTTAGCTGCGTAATGTTGTCGATAGGTGTGATCGAAGTAGTAGTATTGCACGGTAAGCTGGTCTACTCGCTGTGTATAGCTCGTTATATTATATATATCGTATAGTTATATTATAAGGCTTTTACGTGTAGTACGCGCCCCTCGTCCCGTAGTTGAGCTGTCAACCGCTCGCGAAAAAAGCATTGTGTGACGTGCTACACGACCTTGACCAGTTTTTTTTCTCACGATCAGTAATACTCGTAGTTCTCTAAGGGTCCTCGTAGGGTGCGAAATTAACAGGAGTCCGGAATCAAATACTCTCTGATTTACTGTCGGACTCCCTGATTTGACATATGCAGGAGTTCGTGTGACTCCCTGAAAATTCTGCCATACTAACTAGGTCGTTCCAGAGCACGACCTCGCGGAATTACCATATTTGTTCAGCAAATGTCCAAAGAAGATTTTGGCAGACCGCAATGAATCTTCAAAATAAGCACATGCGTTATTGTTAATATCTTTAATTTTGAACATCAGACTGTGGGCTCCCTCATTTTGCTGCGGTCTCCCTCTTTTTGAGGGCAGGGAGTCCGTTGTTGGACTCCCTTGTTCAGAAGTTAATTTCTACCCCTGCACTGTTTCGCCACTCACGAGAATAGGTAGATAGTTTACCCCTTGTAAGGTGTGTATATATAACTTAATCGCACGTTGCATACCGTTATGCAAAGATGTAGAAATATTCCCGTGACGAATAAACCGCTTAGCAGCCTTAGCTGATGAATTACATTGCAGTGGATGACATAATAACGAGAGCATAGTAACTGTAGTTGGTAAACTAGTACGACTTCGTGACCTACAGTTTATGTGCTCGTGGTAACGGCTCACAGTGTTCAGTGGAGCTGCACAGAAAAAATAATCGTTAGCGTCACGTGCATAATAATTGTAAAGTTGTATATTACGAATACTAGATTACTATAATCAAGCTAGCGACCCGGACAAAGCTATATGTAGGCCTCGATATATTGTGCAGCCTGAACTGTTATATAACGTACACCTGGCGTTGACAGTGTGTGACCTCTTCGTGCCATTAGTGTGACCATTTGGTGCGGTCAGTGTGACCATTTGGTGCGGTCAGTGTGACCATTTGGTGAGGTAGCATGACCAATTGGTGCAGTTAGTTGACCATTTGGTGGCGGCTAGTAGACCATTGTGGCGGATTAGCCATGACCATTTGGTGGTCGCTAGTGTGGACCAATTGGTGGCGTTAGATTGATCCATGTTGTGCGCTAGTATGACAATTGGTGCGGCTTAGTTGACCATTTGGTGCGTTAGCATGACCACTTTGGTGCGGTTAGCATGACCATTTTTGGTGGGGCGGTAAGTGTGACCAATTGGGTGGCGGTTAGTTGACCAATTTGGTGCGGCTAGTATGACGCATTTGTGCGGTAAGTGCTGACTCATTTGGTGGGGCCTAGTGTGAGCCAATTGTGGCGGTAAGTGTGACCATTTGTGGGCGCTAGTGTGGAACCAATTGTGGGCGGATTTAGTTGACCATTTGGTGCACTGGTATGACCATTTGGTGCGGTAAGTGTGACCATTTGGTGCGCTAGTGTGACCAATTGGTGCGGTTAGCATGACCATTTTGGTGCGCTAGTATGACCAATTGGTGCGGTTAGTGACCATTTGGTGCGCTAGTATGACCATTTGGTGCGGTAAGTGTGACCATTTGGTGCGCTAGTGTGACTCATATTGGTGCGCGGTAAAGTGTGGAACCATTATGGTGCGCTAGTGTGACCAATTGGTGCGGTTAGTTTGTACCATTTGTGCGCTAGCTAGTTGACCAATTTGAGTGCGCTATATGACGG